CTGCACATTATCTTCTCCAGTCAGGTCGGTCCAGGCAGGCAGCAAAGCGGAAGATAACTACAGACACCTCCTACCCTTTGAGTATGCTTAGGAACAACTCATGTGATTGTTTATGGACCTGGAGGGCACCGCATGGTAATTGGAAAGGGATACTTCACAGGATGAGGATGATACTAGAAAACACAGTCATGAATATGGCCAGGAAGGATTTGCATGGGTTCTGATTTTTTTTAAAGGTGAGCTCCTTGGAAGGCCCCACCAAAACTCTATGAAATGTTGTTTTTCAGAGGCTCATGAATTGTCAAAATTGGAGAAAATCACAAACCAAAACTCGATAGGAAATGATTATTTATTATTATTTGTATGTGGTGAAGACAGCATAAAAATGTACATTTGAAACAGCTGCTATTTTACATCAAAATGAATGTGTGAAAACATTGATTTCAGTTACATCAGTATAAAATCAGCGTCCATATCTGACATGCTATGTCTAGACTACAAAGGTAAGTAGGAAAAAGAGACCCAAATTTCGATCCACAATTTGTGTATCTTTGTTCGCTTTTCTGTCAAAAGAGTCTTTTCTGACATTTGGCACATCTACACGGTGACAAATTTCAGAAATACCTGCTCATTCAAAGCATCCCTTACTCCTCGTAGAACAAGGTTTATGAGGATTGCAAAAAAAGCATGTCCACTTTTTTGAATTTTTTTTTTTTTAAAGGAAAGGATGTGACATTGCTGTACCAGGATACCGCTGGTCAGTGCTTTTTTTGTTAAAAAAAAAAAGTACTAGGCAGTACTATCACAAAAAAAGTACTACTTCTGATATCCTGAAAAAGCACTGCAGTCTAGATGTAGCCTTAGAGGGGTAATACCTCCTCCCCCCCCCACGTCCCATTTCTCTGGTCCCTTATCTCATGAACAGGCAACAGCAAAACCCAAAGTCCAGAGATGCAAACAATTCAATGTTTACTGAGGGTTTTTCCCCCATTTTCCCCCTTACTTCCTGTTTGCCCCCAACTTATATAGTAAAATTCTCACCTATACCTTAACCAATCACCTTACTGAAATTTAACTAATCAATCTTATCATAGTATAACATGCCAAATCAATCTGATAGCTTTCTTTGATAGCCTTGTGGATAAGGTCCAATTGTCTGTCTGGCTGGAGCACTTCTGGGTTCCAGCTGGTGCCGGACTATCAGGAGTGCTGGACCACTGGATGCTGGACAATTGGAGTTTTACTGTACAATGTAGCCTGGAAAATGACTTCTCACTATAACAGGCCTTAGGAGACAGGCCAATCCTCACCTACAGGTGGATTAGGACTAGTTCTGTTCAATATCTTCATCAATGATTTTTAGATGATGGCAGAGAGTATAATTAAGTTTGCAGATGATACCAAAATGAGAGAGGTTGCAAGTATTTTGGAGGATAGAGTTATAATTCAATATGATCTGGACAAAGTGGAGAAATGGCCTAAGGTAAATAGGATGAAGTTTAATAAGGACAATTGTAGCAAAGTACTCCACTTAGGAAGAAACAGTTTCACACATACAGAATGGAAAGTGACTCTCTAGGAAGGAGTACCACAGAAAGGGATCCAGGGGTGATAATGGACCACAAGCTACAGTGTCTACAGTGTGACACTGTTGCAAAAAAAGCAAACATAATTCTGGGATGCATTAATAGGAGTGTTGTGAGCAAGACAGAAGTCATTCTTCTGCTCTACCTTACACTGATTAAACCTCATTTGGAGTATTGTGTCCAGTTCTGGGCACCACTTTTCAAGAAAGATGTGGAGAAATTGGAGAGCAACAAAGAAGTGCAACAAAAATGATTATAGGTCTAGAAAACATGACCTATGAAGGAAGACTGAAGGAACTAGGTTTGTTTAGTTTAGAAAAGAGAAGACTGAGAGGGGACATGATAGCAGTTTTCAAGTATCTAAAAGGAGGGAGAAAAAATGTTCTCCTTGGCCTCTGATGATAGGATAAGAAGCAATGAGCTTAACCTGAAGCAAGAGAAGTTTACGTTGGACATTAGGACAACTTCCTGTCAGGGTGGTTAAACACTGGAATAAATTGCCTAGGGAGATGGAATCTCCATCTCTGGAGACATTTAAGAAAGGTTTAGATAGGTGTCTATCTTGGATGATCTAGACAGTGCTTAGTCCTGCCATGAGGGCAGGGGACTGGACTAGATGATCTCTCATGGTCCCTTCCATTTGAGTATTCTATGATTAGCTAACCAATTATATCCCACCACCTCAATTGGTTTATACCTAGCAACATTAATTATACAGCGGAAAGAAACAATCTAAGTTCCAGACAGAGATCATACAGATAAAGTGAAGAGAACTGGGGAGCATAATGAGAAAACAATAAAGAAATGAGGATTTCAAAACCCCAACTATTGATAAGTGGGTACTTCACAGACAGGAAACTATCAACCTTATTTTCTTTAAATTTTTGAGGCTCTTCCTTTTATCTGTAGTAGTTTGGATTGCCTTTCTAACATCCCAAAATTGCCTCATTTCAATATGAATGGTTTGGGCTATTTGAGGATATGACTGTACATTTCCCAGATTATTAGAAAGAATAATTACATTTACAGTAAAGTACAAACATTTCTTTTGCTACATTTTTCCTACTCTTAATCAAGTAAATCAGCAGTATACAGAATTTGGTAATTAGCTATTGGACCATTACTTTTTAAAAAATAGCAATATTAGAAAAAGTCATATTGCCAAAACTGGAGTTATTAACCCCATTCATCAACAACATGACCAATGTATTCTAATTCTCTGCTTCCTTGGAATTACAAACAAGAAATTCTTCTCTTTGCCTCATGCCTTGCTACGTCTACACTGGTATGATTTTCCTAAAACGCTTTTAACAGAAAAGTTTTCTGTTAAAAGCATTTTCGGAAAAGCACATCTAGATTGGCAGGATGCTTTTCCATAAAAGCACTTTTTTGCGGAAAAGCATCCGTGCCAATCTGGTGCTTTTTTTGTGCTTTTCCACAAAAAAGCTCCGATCGTCATTTTCGCAATCGAGGCTTTTTTGCGGAAAAGAAATCTCTGCTGTCTACATTGGCCCTTTTCCGGAACAGTTTTCCGGAAAAGGACTTTTGCCCGAACGGGAGCAGCATAGTTTTTCCGGAAAAACACTGACAATTTTACAGTAGATCGTCATTGCATGCAAGCGGCTAGTGTAGACAGCTGGCAAGTTTTTCCACAAAATCATCTGATTTTGCAGAAAAACTTGCCAGTCTAGACACAGCCTAATAGTGTCACTGCACTTTTATGTGCTTCTTTAGATAAATACTTTTGAAAGAATAATTACATTTACAGTAAAGTACAAACATTTCTTTTGCTACATTTTTCCTACTCTTAATCAAGTAAATCAGCAGTATACAGAATTTGGTAATTAGCTATTGGACCATTACTTTTTAAAAAATAGCAATATTAGAAAAAGTCATATTGCCAAAACTGGAGTTATTAACCCCATTCATCAACAACATGACCAATGTATTCTAATTCTCTGCTTCCTTGGAATTACAAACAAGAAATTCTTCTCTTTGCCTCATGCCTTCCCCCAGGTCCCAGTCAGTGCTGCTCCTAACATCCACCTCCCAGTAGTGCTTTCCATTGGAGAATCCTTCAGATCCAAGCACACAGACAGTCGAATCGAACCTCTCTTCGTTTGGTTGAACTTGTTGAGGTTGGGCTTCATGTTTCAAACTCTTCTTATCCCCAGCAATGGAGAGGTTGGGATGGGCCGTGTTTGCATCAAGGGTGATGTCAGCTACAGAAATAAAATTTTTGTTTTGAGAATCACTCCTGTGATGCTGGTGACAGTGGAAGGAAATACACCCCGTGGGGCCTTCTCCTGTCTCTCTTCGTTTGGTTGAACTTGTTGAGGTTGGGCTTCATGTTTCAAACTCTTCTTATCCCCAGCAATGGAGAGGTTGGGATGGGCCGTGTTTGCATCAAGGGTGATGTCAGCTACAGAAATAAAATTTTTGTTTTGAGAATCACTCCTGTGATGCTGGTGACAGTGGAAGGAAATACACCCCGTGGGGCCTTCTCCTGTCGCCCCTCCTCATGCAGAGCAGCTATTGATTTGAGTGGGTATTTTGCCTGAGTAAGAACCACAGGACTTGACCAGTGCTGCAGACTTGGCCTATTTATATTTCATAGAAATATTTCAGAAATGAGAATTGCTTAGTATCTACATAAAATAAACATGACCATGAACAATTTATCACACTTGCACTAATTCTGATCTGTTACATGGGTGTGACTCCAGAGTAACTTCACTTAAACTTTTCACCAGGAAAGTAAGTCATTGCCATTGTAACTGTGAGAAGAAATGGTGTGATTATGGTTATTGCTATGTGATGATTTATGCATGAAATATGGCAAACATATACTTCCAATGATAGCTAACTCTGGTGAGAAATTCATTATCATTGATCACTGGTCAACATGCCCCTATTACTACCATTATAAATAAATAATATGTAAATAAATAATAATTCATTATAGTACAGTCATTAAAATAAAGGTTTTAATGACTCATTCCACTCATTAAAATAAAGGTTTACCTAGCAATGAGACCTGGGACCACTAGGTTCTGTTCCCAACTCTGCTGCTGTGTGAGGTTGGTTGCATCACACAAGCTCTGTGATAGCTGGTTTACGCCTCAGTAAGCTCAGTATGATGCCAACCTCATCGGGGGCTACAGGGGTTTTCATTATTTTCAGCAGAAAATGGCTGTAATACGTAAATTAGTACCTGCACTAGCTCCAATGTCATATCAGCCATTGCTGTTCCTTTTGTCTCTCCCACATCATTTTCATCTTTTCTCACTATAATTATTATAACTAGCAACATCCCCACCAGTGTCCATCTTCATCAGAGAAAGAATCCCATCGCTGTCTTCATCACTGGCAAATGCCTCATAAATCTTGTCTGGCCATGTCTGTCACCTCTGCAGTGCCCATCATGATCTTACGCAGTCACCATCCCTGCCACCACATCATTCCTGCCTTCACTGTGGCCCAAATTTTGAAAACCTCCTGAGAGATTTCTGCAAACTCCACTCAAAATAAATCCTCAAAAGGTGTCTTACTCCCATTAGTAGCATTACTTTAGAGGAGCTGAGCCAAAGGGACTTAGAAGCACAGGTCTGTCAGAGTGTTGCTGACCCTATGAAGGGGTTGGGGCTCTGCCCACTCAAGAGAGGCTTCAGAAGGGACATGAGTCAGATCACAGGCTGGGTACGTCTAGACTGGCATGATTTTCCGCAAATGCTTTTAACAGAAAAGTTTTTCCGTTAAAAGCAGTTGCGGAAAAGAGCGTCTAGATTGGCAGGATGCTTTTGAGCAAAAGCACTTTTTGCGGAAAAGCGTCCGTGCCAATCTAGACGCGGTTTAAAGCCCTGATCATCATTTTAGCCATCGGGGCTTTTTTGAGCAAAACAGTTCTTCCCTGTCTACACTGGCCCTCTTGCACAAGAATTCTTGCACAAGGGGGCTTTTTCCTGAGCGGGAGCATGAAAGTATTTGCGCAAGAAGCCCTGATTTTGTACATTACAAAGTCAGTGTTCTTGCAAAAATTCAAGCGGCCAGTGTAGACAGCTCGCCAGTCTAGATGCACCCCTAGGCTGTGTCTATATTGGCCAGTTTTTCCAGAAAATCAGTCGCTTTTCTGGAAAAACTTGCCATCTGTCTACATCGGCAGCTTGAATTTCTGCAAAAGCACTGACTTCCTACTGTAAGAAAAC